TTTTATATTATACTTACCTAGATATAAAGGTTATAGAATAATAGTAATTTTAAGTTAATAGTCTTATACTAGCTACTAGTGTACTTTATAGCCTAGTTATTAAAGTATATCTTTATAAAGTTACTTATTTACTTTAGTGTTAGCCTTAATATTACTATTAATATTACTATAGTTAACAAGAGCTCCTATAGTAGTATAGTAGTTATTATATATAGGCTATTAATTTTAGCTATTATATAGGGTTTTAGTGTTAATATAAGCAGTAGTAAAGTAAAGGTTAGGTTATTATAGAAGGTTTAGTAGCTAGTTACTAGTAATAGGTATACTTTAACTATTTTTACTCTATATATAATTATCTTATAGCCTTTAATATCTTTAATAAAGTTAAGGTCTTTAAGGTATTTTCTAAAGTTATATAATAATCTTTTAATAATAGTAATTATCTTATTAGTCTAGTAGATACTTTTCTTTTATTAAAAGGTATTAAATATACGTTAGGTAATTAATAAGTATTTACTATAGTTAACCTATACTCTATAGTTAACAAGGAAGTTATATAGACTTATTAAGACCTTTAGGTTAATAGTCTTAAAGTTACTAATAAGCTAGTTAGTAAAGTCTTCTTATATATAGTAAAGTAATTTACTACTAAGGTAGTTATTATACTTAGATTTACTAAAGTAAAATATAATAATAGTGTTAAGCGCAAAGGACTATTACTTCTTTATAAGGTTAGTTAGTAACCTTATAATATAATCTCTTCTCTATTAGTATAAAAGAATATACTATATAAAAGTAGAAGGTATAGTAATAATATTATTTATTATTATTATCTTTTCTACTATATTAAGTAGTATATTATATTTACTATAAATCTCTTTTTCTTGTTGCCTTATAGGCAAATATATAGTAACCTATAAGCCTTACTTACTTATAAGCTTATCTTGTTTACTTATCTTAGCTTAGGTCTTCTACTTATAGGTATAGTGTTATTTACTATTATCCTTTATTAGCCTAATAACCTCTTAAACATAGGCGTTTCTTCTAGTAGACTAAAAGGCGTATATATTTATTAGAAGGATTACTACTAGTAGTATAGATAACTAGGAAAAAATACACTCTTATAGGTAAATAACTTAGAGAAAAACAATAGGCTATTATATTAGCTACTTATTAACACTATTAGTTAGTAAAAGAAGAAGAAATAATAGGCTATTATATTAGTAACTTATTAAGACTATTAGTTAGTAAAAGAAGTATATATATAGGAAAAAGAAGTTAGTAAGCTAAAGAGCTTATAAGAAATAGGATATAGTAAATAATTACTAGTTAGCTATAGGTATATAAAGTAAAGGGTTTTTTATAGTTAAAAGTACTTCTCTAAAGGTAATAAAGCTTATATAATAGATATAAATTAATAAGGTTTCTACTAGTTAAGGGGACTAGTTATAGATTTATTAATTAACCTATTATAATAGGCAATTAGTATAATATTATAGTAAGGGTATTTATAAAGGCATTTTTTAGTCTTTGCCTACTCTAGGTGTATAAATAATTAACTAGTAATAATTACCTCTTCTTATAGTCTTTACTAATCTATAATTTAGATAGTAAAGTTAACCTATATAGTTAACAGTAAAGTTAACTACTAATTAGTGTTAGTAATACTAAGGGATAGGTTAATATAGTTAACTATATATATTAGTAGTAATTAATAAATAATAAAGGTAACTATAGTTCTCTATTATATATAACGAAAAGAAGGATAATTATTATAGGTTAGTTAGTTAAATAACTAACTTATTGCCTATAAATCCTTAGAGAATCTATAGCTAAATATCTAAGGATTTACTAGTAATAAGTCATTAGGGTTAACCTAATAACTCTAATATTTATCTATAATAGTTAATATTACAACAGTTATAAGTATACTTCTTTTAATCTAATGTTTTAATAAGATCTTTATCTTAGAGATTTATTACTTTAACTAGCTAAAAAAGTAGCTATATACTATTACTAAGCTTAAGGAGAATATTACTAAGCTAGCTAATATAGTTAATAGCTATAAAGGTAATATTAATAAATATAATACTAAGGCTAATATAGCTACTAAACTTACTAAGGATATTATAAAAAAAACTAATACTTTTAATATAGATATTAATAATATTATAAAAAACCTTTATAAAAAGGCTAATAAAGTATATAAGTAAAAGTAGTACCTTAAGGAACTTAAAAAGTAAGTAAACTAGATAAACACTAAAGTTATACTCTTTAATAAGAAGTCTAATAACCTTAATACACTAACTATTTTTAAAAGTAACTTATTTAAAAAGTTAATAAATAAAGTTAACTAAATAGCTACTAAGCTTAATAAATAAAAGGCTATAGTTAATCTTTAGGTCCTAGCTACTTAGCCTAAGGTTACTACCTTAATAACCTAGGGTAGCTAAGCTAATAAATGCTACTATAACACTAATAATATTTAGCCTAGGTACTACTAAAGGCTAAATAATCTTAATAGAACTTTAGAGATAATAAGTAATAGGGTTATTATATAGAAAGAGAGGTAATTTTTATACTTTATATTTATATATACTACTATTTAGTATATTTTTATAGTAAAAGAAAATAAAGTTTTTTAAGAGGGAAGTACTTATTATAGGATAAGTACCTTATATAGTAGATAGATAAGTAGAATATAGGATTACCTTATTAGTATATATCTAGGTATATACCTAGGGGTATATATTCTATTACTTATTTCCTTTTATAAGGAAAAGTAACCTTAATAAATAACCTATACTTATACCTAGCTCTCTTGTCCTATATTATTTGTTTAGCTTCTTGTTATTACTTGCTTTATTTTACTGCTCTACTGTTATACTTTACCTTTGCACTATGTTACTTTATATTGCCTATTGTAGTCTTACTCCTCCTGTTAGATCTATAATAGCTAGTAGGAAGGCTATATTAGTCTAGGCTTTTATTATACTACTATTATTATAGTCTTACTTAACTTACTAAGGCCTTACCTAATAGACTTACTAAAGAATATAAAGGTTTTATACTTTTCTTTTTTTATTTTTATTATTTTTTAGTATAGTAGTTACTATAAGTTCTTTACTAAATTAGATATTAGTAGTAATAAAGAGATAAGGTTTATATCTAGACTATACTTATTTCTTTTTTCTTATATCTAACTACTAACTTATTATCTTCTTTAGGTTTATTTTCTTTAACTACTTATAAGTTATTTACCTTACTAGTCTTTATAATATACTACCTAGTTACTAGTTTCTTTAGTTATAAGTTATTTATTTTATTTATATATAAGAAGCCTTTATAGTAAGTAAATCTTAGGCTAAGAAATTACTTTTTAAAAGCCTCTTAGCTTTTATTTAATATTATAATAATACTACTATTATTATTATACTTAATTATTAAGTAAATAAAGGTCTTAACTTTATAAAAAGTAGCTAATAAATAGTAATACTTTATATATAAAGTAAATATTAATAACTATAAATTAACTTTACCTATTTTTAGTAAAATATTTACTATTATTTACCTTATAACTAGCCTTCTTATACTTATTAATACTTTATTATTAACTTACAACTAGTAAAGCTAAAGAAAAAGTAGTATATAACTATAGTCTTATATAGCTTATACTTAGCTACTAAGCTACTTTTTCTTTTTTATTAGTAGCCTTCTTAATAGTAGTAGTAGTAGTAGTAGTTATACTAGTAAAAGTAGTAATAGCACTAAGGATAACTTTAAGTATTATATACTACTACTTTTATTACTATTAACTATAGAAGGCTTTTTAAGTAATAATATTATAGTAAGTATAAATAAGTAATTATTTTAGCTATAAATCTAATAATAAAAGATATAGACTTTAACTTTTTTCTTTATAATAACCTCTTAGCCTTAAATTTTATAATAATATAATATTATAAACCTTTAGCTATTTAAGTATATAGTAAGCTAGCTATAGGCTAACTTACTTTGGTAGTATAATAAGTATAAAGTTAAGGTAGCACAAGTAATAAAAGGTCCCTCCTGGCTACTAATTACTAATTATGACCAGTGGCTAAGTATACCCTTAGGTAGATAATTATGTGATTAGGTAAAAAGTATAGACTAAACAAAAATAGTATTGGAGATTGGAATGCGGCGACGGGAATGGCGCCGATGATGTCAGTGCATTGGGAGAAGGGCAGTTTTTTGTTTGCGTGGAGCGCAAATTTCCCCCTCCAGGTAGATAGCTATCCAGTCGGGTAGGTTTGTTAGGTTCCCTACATTTCGTAGCTGAAGTAGCTGACTCTTCTTATCTTTTCTGTCCCAAATGGACATGGCCAAGTCAGTTAAAACTGTTGGTATCACAGTCGTGATGTAATACGGTACATGTACGGTACCCAAGTGGGTAGAGCAGTAGTTTAATTCTGGATGTATCTAGTTGCTTAAGTATTAGAAGGGAGGAAGTTCGTGGTACACGAACTGCCTTAGATTTCGCTGTACTTTAACGGCAAAATCCCTGTAATGCTACTGGATCGGAGTAGGCGGCAATTCCCTACGATTCATAGCTGTGTCTTAAAGTAGTTTCAGCCACTTCTATGCTACTTGATCCTTAGGTTTCCGACTGATTATTTCAACAATTTAACCAGGTAGATAAAGAGTACTTAGACGCCAATACTAGGCGTGCCCTATCTAGAAAGGTATAGAAGGGCTAGGACAAGCTGGAATCTAGACTATCAACTTTAGAGCAGCAACGCCAGCATCTGCATACCTATATAAATAACCAGCGGAATTACAAGAAGAGGGTTACCCTATCTTCTAACAGCACCTTAACGAGGATTAAGGACATTCTACGGGCGCAGAAGGAGACAGGCGAGGTATCTAATAGGCTAGATGAGACCAGCGCATCTGAATTATCTAGTTAAACAGAAAGTCGTATATATGTGGGTGGCAGGCCAGAGGAATAAGTGGTGATGGTGGTGGTGTTGGTAGTGATGATAGTGCGTCAGGGAACCGGGGCCGGTAAACATAGGGCCAAAGCAGAACAAAAGGGAAGCAGATCAAATGTTACAATGGAACCCTAAGGGCACTAATGTTGACTCCTTTACTCCGTATGATCCCAGCCTCTGAAACTATTATAAACAATGGGTTTTGACGGTGATGGCTTTACTCTATCTAGAAGCAAAATAAAGTAGGTCTGCATCTAGTTTTCATAACCCTGCAGATTCCAGGGCACTAAATAAAACTGTAAGTAAAAACCACATTGAGTAATTGTTTGTACACTTACCTGGTTAAGGAACTTATCGGACTTCTTTGTAATACAAAACCCGTCTTCTACTTTACCGCGGACTTTTTTACAAGCTGTCGAAAGTTGACTCTTGTCATTACAGCTAGCGCATAGATTAGTATTATAGTAATTTCCCCGTAAAAGGTCGACGTACATGCACTTATCAGCGGCTGCTATCATAAAGAGCAGCGCTAAAGTAGAAACAATAGAGAGTCTCATTGTAACAAGAGAAGCAAAAGTAATTAAAAGACTAAAAGTAGAAAATTGACGTAGTAGGATATCTCCAAGATAAATGAGTTAGCCTGTAGGTGTAATTCTGCACAAAACCCTGTAATTAGTGGTGTTAAGATTGCACTTGTAAATTAATATACAATAAAAAGCTTATCATCGGTAATTCCGACACAAGCGGCGCCAACAGTGTTGCAAAGCCGGCCGTAGAGCAAGAGGTCTAAGCTCCGTTTAAACATGCTTTCCTGGTTCCTTTATTTTAAATAATTGTATACAAATTCCTAATAGTTAAGTAAAAACCGTCCTATCCTTTTGTAAATGCTACCTAGCTTGCCAACAGAGGATAGGATAAGGTAAGTAGACTTGACATTCTCCCTTGCGGGCGGCTGCGCAGGAGCAGTACAGAGTGCCGTCGTGGTCCTAAGCATTGATAGACGGACCTCTTAAGATGCACAATCCGGCGGCAGCTGGCTTCGATTTCGCGGTGTCTGTTGCTGAGGTTGACACCAATACCAAAAGAAGAGGGAGACGACTCAGATGGAGTTACTGCCAATTCTACCAACCTCAGAGGTGTGTAAATCACGGCTAGCTATACCTAGGAGCCGGCAGACGGTTTACTACAAGTTTAACTGTGGAACATTTGCATTGGTTTGTTCCCTGTGCCGCCTTATCCAGGCACCACCGGAACTCAGCCCAAGAGCCCCAAGCACAATGTATTTTGTGGTTTTTACAAGGGCGAGGGTACCGGCACCGGCATTAGCGTCGGCCGCTCCGAATGGAAAAGCGGGTCTCACCCCATTGGTGGTGTCCATTAGTTCAGAGGGGAGAACAGTTCATAGGGGGGTATTCTAGCTTCAGGGGGAGGTATCTATTATAAGGCCAAAAAGTAAAGAGGGGGGTAAAGTAGCTAGGGTTAAGGTTACAAGGCTTATTTAGGCTTAGCTTAGAATATAAGAAGTATAAAAGCTTTAGTATATACTAAGTATATACTAAGTATACACCTATAGATATAGTACTTACTCTTTATAACTATATTAG